AAGGGGGAACCGATTATAGGGATCTACATATAACCTCCTCCCTGGGGACGGACAACAGAAAAGTGGGTGAAGGGAGACATCGGACAGTGTAAGTTATGACAAAATAATAATTTATAAATTATCAATGGTTCATGAGGGAGGGAAGAGCGGGGAGGGGGAGGAAAAATGAAGAGCTGATACCAAGGGCTTAAGTGGAGAGCAAATGTTTTGAGAATGACGATGGCAACAAATGTACAAATGTGCTTTACACAACTGATGTATGTTTGGATTGTGATAAGAGTTATATGAGCCCCCAATAAAAAAAATATAAAAAAAGAATTGTCCCCTGAAACCAATTTACCACAGGTTTATAGCTATCTTCAAGCAGGAGAGGGCATACTGAAACCAAACGGATGCATGGTGACCCTATAGGACGGCCCAGAGCTGCCCTGTAGGGTTTTCAAGTCTGTAAATCTCTACAGAGGCAGAATGCCACGTCTTTCTCCAGTGAGCGACTAGTGCTGATGAGTGCTTAATCACTGCACCATCAGGGCTCCTATTATAGATCACAAAGCCAGCTACACTAAGTAGAATGCCTCTGGTTATCCAGAGACAAACTGCACCCTTTCTTACCTTCTGCATCTGCTGATCAGACTTGGCCATCTCTGCAAAATAATCGGTGGGTCGCTTGGTAGGGACTTTGAGCTGATGGAGGCGGGGTAGCACTGCGAGCACTGCAGCCTGAGCCTGCCGGTAGCTGAGACAAAGTGTGCAATGAGCTGAGCGAGGCCTTACCCACTGTCCAAGATCAAAAGGCTCTCAAGGTCAGGCCTGCACCAGCCAGGGCAAGCAAACCAACACCAACTGTAAGAAAACTCCACACACCTGGGATATGGGGGAAGGGCAGCGGTACAAAACTTTTTAAAAATATACAAGGCGGGGAGGGTGTTGCTAAAATGCTAATTAACAGTGCAAGAGACTGAAACCCCATTCTAAATTCTCATTTGGGAAATGACAGTCCCATCAGCTTCCACAAGCAGTTTTTGGTTCCAAAAGCTGAATGCACACTGAAAGTAGCTTATGACCCCTCCCTCCCCCTCTAGCACGGGGACTCCCCACTCCTCCCATTTGGGAATCAAACATACAAGCTCATCTCCCGCTGGAAGTCATCTTCGGGGTCAACAGCTCTCTGATCCTTGTCCTGAGGAGTTGACTGGGATCCACTGGCTTCTGGCACCGGACCCAGGGTCACATCAAGTCTTTCCACCCAATCCAGATCCCGCTTGAATTCAGCCAAACACTGCTTCAGACCCGTCTAGGAAACCCAGACACTAGACTCTTAGGAAAGATGCCGAGATGGCGTCTCATAAAGTCAAGGCTAAGTCAAAGGACAAAACGTTAACCCCTCCATATCTAGTAAGTATGTCATTGGCCCACGTGTCCAATGTGAAGCAAGAACTGTCTCCCAACCGCAGCAGTGCCTTGTGCACGTCCCATCTGAGGGTAGCCCTCGATCCAGCGACCCAGCTCACCACATCGTTAGCGGCCTTCTTTGGTCCCTCTAGCACGACATTGAGGCCCGGCTTCAAGAGACCTCGGGAAAACGCTTCCTGCAACTGTGGGAGGCAATCGATAGTCAGGACCGGGCAGTCGGGACCACCCCTCTCCGGGCCCAGCCCCGCGAATTTGACTGGAGCCTACCTCTCTGTCTGTGACAAGAGAATCGTCCGAGTCCGAGTCCGAACCCGAGGCCGGGGGAGTGTCCATTTCGCAGCACGCGCACCAACCAAACGCAGTGAACCGTCCCGAGGCCTGCTCGGAT